GTACGTACGTACTACTACTACTTACTTACCTTACTTTACCCTTTCCCCTTCCCCCTTCCCCTTTCCCTTTCCTTTACTTACGTTACGTAGTACGTACTACTCTACTCTACTACTCTCTCTCTCTCTCTCTCTCTCTCTCTCTCTCTCTCTCTCTCTCTCTCTCTCTCTCTCTCTTTTTTGGAGGAAACCAGGGCGCCAGATGCTTTCAAATTGGTCAAGAGGATTCTTTTGGTCACCTTCTCCCTCTAAAAAGTTTTCTTAGAAGCGGAGGTCAATGCCTATATTTTTCTCTATCGAACTAAGGTCAGCTGCTTTAACATCTTGCAGTTTGTGAGATCTCTATCCAAACTCTTCCAAAATCCAAACTATTAACCTTATTATATATGAGTCTTACCCAGCTTTTATTTTGGCAATTTCTGCAGTTTTCCTGACCATGTGGCTTTTTCTTATAATCATAACTCAAGGGCCCAAGCTTTATTTTGAGGACCCTTCCCTCCACTCAATCTCAACATGCTCTCCCTTTTTCACCGAAAAGCTTACGGTAATAATAATGAAGTCACAAACTTCACTGACTTTTTACATTAGCCCTCCTCAAACAAACTCCATCCTCTATTACCCCATACCCCAATCTCAGAATTTAGAGAGAGAGAAAGAGAGATGCTGGTTCATCAGAGTTGCAGACTTTCCAGTAAGTGAACATCTTTCCCCTATTGCTGTGTTTCTCATTTTTGATGTGTTCATGAAATTCTTTCTGTACTGTCCTGTAAAAGCATGTCAATTTTTCAATAGGAAACAGTAGAATTCAGGCAGCACGTACCAAATGCATTTCTAATATAGAGAGAGGGAGACTGGAAAAAGCACAGTAAAAGCATAGAATCAGCCTTAACTCTCCTGCTTAAAGAGAGAGAGAGAGAGAGAGAGAGAGAGAGAGAGCAAGCAGTTTGCACGCAAAACCAACCAATTTCATTTCTTTCCAATCCTGAACATAGGGGGAGCTACACATGATAACCAAAAAATAAGAAGAAGAAAACCTTTTTCTTCTTCTGTGGGAGCTACACATGATAACCAAAAATAAATAAGAAGAAAACCCTTCTTCTCTTCTGTGCCTGCAGAAAGCAGACATGTATACACACTCAAAAGGCTTATTTGCCCTGCACACCAAAAAAACAAATACCAATCCACCAATCCACTTCAACTGGTCAATCCTAATCTTACTCTTTTCTTCTTTCCTTTTTTTTGTTTTTTTCTCTGTTTTTCTTTCTGACTACTTCTCTCTTTTTCTCTCAGTGCCGACTATACTTACACTCACGGACACATTATGTAATTCTTCAGTTTCTGTACATATAAAACTGATAAAGACCTGACCATTTATCACAAAAAGACGATAAAAGAACACACATTCATAAGATAAGAAAGAATGGTGAGTAGACCCCCTGTGTGTTTTTGAAGAGGGATAAAGGAGGCTGAAATCAAAGGGCATGAGTAAGTGCCCTCCTGCAAGATGGTGGGGATGTCTTGTTAGAAGAGGTCGGAATGGAGGTAGTTTTCTGGATTGGCGATGGGGTCGCCAGACCGAATGTACTTAATAGGAATTGCCTCTCCTGAAGAATGGACAGACACCATGTTAGAGAAAGAGAGAGAGAAAGAGAGAGAGAGAGAAAGTGTGTGTGTGTGTGTGTGTATTGGAATGTGTATTGTATTATGTGCATTTCTTTTCCTACTTGGAATGTGTTTTGTATATGTGCATTTCTTTTTCTACTTTCTTACCATTATTCATGATAATTCTTTTTTTTTCTACACCTACATACATACACACAGATCAATGGAATCTAGTGTTTAACTAAGCTACTGCTGAATGGAACTGGCAGAACTGATGGAACCCATTGCATGTGATAGAAGAGAGTGTCAATGGTGATAAGTTAGACAAAGCTTGAAAGGAGAAATGTAGAGTGTCAATGGTGATAAGTTCGGCAAAGCTTGAAAGGAGAAATGCAGGGAAACAGTAAAGGTACGTGTTTTCTTTTCTTTTTTTTCTTTTTTTAAATATGAAATATGTTTCACCTCATACAATGTACTCAACTTAGAAATCTCAAGAGATTCAGGGGAACCAAGAGAGCCTATGTTTTTTGAAATATGAAATATGTTAACAACTGTGTTTCCTCAATAGTGAGAATCTTTAGTTTTAACAAGAAACATGCCACTGTTTTCTTATCATGTCCAGTGGCCAGTGCTTCTTGCAAACCACAGTCAACTATCGTCATCTTTTCGAACAACTGAAAGATAAATATACGTTCCAAATATTGTAGTGTAGGAGTTTATACATTACACAAACCAACTAATTTGGATGTATGAGGTACAGGAATATTGGTCTTTCCAGGGTTCTCTTCTGCCCAACAAGTGATATGCATATCTGCAGGTAAGAAAAATTCCTGCACCTCCCTCTCTCTCTCTCTTCCTCTACTGGTACGTACGGAGACGAAGGCCAACTACCGNGGGGTAAATGGG